AAACAAAAAATTAAGTACCTCATTTAGCTAATTTGAAGGCAAGAGCATCACTTTCACCCCTAAACTTTCACAATTTAGTCATGTTGGTATATGAACGTTACTTCCGATCATACCATTACACGAATTCATATTTTTTGTCATTGCGGTACATCAACCGATTCCGGCCATGAAACTGCCATGAATACGAGCAGTATTACCGACATGATAAATTTACAGTGTTTAAATAAAATGACGTTGTTTTAGTAAATGAAATTAACAAAATAATTTATTTATGATTTATTCCATGAATATGACTATGAGATTTAAATTATGTACATTTTCACATTTGGACATATAGTCTATTAAACCAGCATGAACTGATATAAACCGACAGTACGAATTCATATTTTTGGTCATCGCGGTACATCAACCGATTCCGGCCACAAAACTGATATGAATACCACCGATATAACTGGCATGATAAATTACGGCGTTTAAATAAATTTACGACATCGATGGTTGAACTATTTTCTTCCCTTTTTATAATTATGGTTGAACTATTCTCATTTGTGTACTTCATTTACTTTTGGAACAATATGATTCTTATAATGCCATGTCTAGATATCACAAGCGCCATGCAAGGAATGCATTTGGGGGCAAGTTTCATATGGTGTGAAATCAAGGTTAGATGCGAAATGTTGACACATGCAACTTATATAGACAAAAATTATTTTTCAAATTCACCTCATTTTATATATTTTTTGTGAAGGAAGGAAATTCATGAGCCTCACGCTAATCAAGATTTGTGAATAGGATAATAATATTACAGATAACTGAAAATGATAATATATGTTATAGTTACAAACGTTTAAAACCTAATAAAAATGTCAAATAGATATCACATATAAATAAAAAATTATATTTCGCATGACACAAAACAAAACAATATCTTTTTGTATCTTTTTTTATTCAAAATGACCATTTAACTTACTCTGGATAATTACTTCAAAAAAGAACTTACTCTGGATAAGGGTAGATTTTCAACGGTGTATTAGGTGTCTCATTTCTTAACTAATTGGTGCAGTGAGTCTACAATTTACATGGTCATTTTGAATGAAAATATACGAAATATTTATTTTCTTATGTCATATATGTATATGATTTTTTGGTTACATTTTAAATATTTGAAACAATTTTGTCACATGCAAAATGATATGATCATTTTGATAAATTACCCCCAAATATTATATATAGAAAAAAGTATGTATTTCAAAAATATTCTATTTTCTTGGTAGTTGAGTTCAGATGGTCTCACTTTGTGTGAAAATTTTTCTTTCAATTTTGGTGTTTTTCGGATGGTCATACTTTATGTGAAAGTTCTTTCCTTTAATTTTTGTGTTTCAAATAGTGAGTCAGTGGACCCGTAAGATTGGAGGGGTTAATCTGATCCAATCCCAAACCATCGAAACAAATAATCGAACCTCTATTGCAACGGGTTTGGTGGTTCTACTAAAATTAGTAGTTGAGTTCCGATGATATTAGTTGATGTTAAAGTTTTTATTTTTATTTTTGCTATTAAAAAATTAAGTCAGTGGACCAGTACAACCATACTTATTCGTCTGGTTTTGATGTGGTTTAGTTATTATAACAATTATATTTTCATATCACTTAGAATTATGCTTTTTCTACAAAAAAATTATGTTATTATTGGGTGAGTTAAAAACCAAATCCGAATACCACAAATTAGCATCATTTCATACAACTTTAAGGTAGCATCTTAATTACCTTATTTTCATTGATCAAACATTGACACTAACTAACCGACATCTAATCAAACGACTGCTAAATTTGCAGGTAAAATTAATTTCACCTCTTCATGAGCGACCTTACTACTCGCGAATCCAAGAATTACAAAAGTAATTAATATTGGGCTAGGGTGAAGTTTTTAAACATTTACTCACCATATATGCATGTGTGTTATGCGTTTGATGTTGAACAAACCAATATGGTATTAATTATTATTCCTTTTTGGTGATAATAGTACAACGATGGACCAAATCCACCGTTGAAATGCATGGAAGCACCTCAAAGGAAAGATGAGGACGAGAACGACACTGAAGATGAGTAAAGATAAGGATTATTCAAAACAATTTTATAATTCGTTTCCCTGGTAAAGGGTTTGTCATCAGTGGCGTAGCCAGGATTTCGTTTAAGGTGGGTCCACCTCGAAAAAAATAAATATGATAAAATAGTTTTTTAATATAATCTTACATTGAAAACTTTTGATAAATTAAAATGCATTAGCAGTCGAAAATATCAAGAATATCACTATGCATATATACCAAACAATCATTGATTTAGTTAGTCGTAGTGTTTCAAATGGTGTTCTTTGTTAAGAACTGTTAGTATCAGTACCTCGAGTTGTTGATATAGGTTTAATAATAAATCTTATACCAACCAATAATCATGATTTACCTAGTCGTTCGCTTTCGAATGATGTTCTTAAAAAAATTACTTAGTATCAATAAATCGAGGTTTTGAAAGATTTCAATAATATATTATACTATTTACTACCATGCTCCCTTATAAGAAAGTCAACTTATACGAAATTGATGTTTTCACAAATCTGTATACCATATGCTCAAGAAATGAGGTCGCCAAGATTCAAACATAAAACTTTTCGACCCACTATTCTCAATTAAACACGACCTAATTTTCGATATCAATTAACTATCGTACCTAATTTAACCATTTTTCCTCCGAACCAGGGTAGGTCCCGGGACCCACCCTATTACACTCTCCCTCCGCCACTATTTGTCATTGATTTTTCGTAAATTAAATATGTTCGATGAGTCAGTTAGGATGTCCTAGAATACTACGATGTTCGTATTTTAAATTGTTTAAGTACTTCAATAATTTGGATTCTTTTACGCTATCAAGAAATTTACATTTCGATAATTTTAGTGATCCAGACTTTTGTAAACAATCAAAACACAGGAAACTCATTCTACTCCTATTTTGTATTTACACGATTCGCAAATGAACCCAACATTGGTACCTATTTAGTATACGCAATTTGGAAATGAAACCGGCCAACCGGTTGGTCTGGTGACTAGTTCAAGAAAATAACCAAGAATAATTTCTTTAATATGTACCAACGTCCTTATATTATCGATTTTTGCCTACAATTATATTGCTGTATATACACAGTAATAACACCAATCATTATCTATATTATTAGATATATATAGTTCTATAAAGACTAATAACATACATAAATTATTCACAATATTAGGGGTCAGGTTGAAAGCAGAATTTTTTTGCCAAATCCACACTCAATCGCTAATTCTAAAAATTGGTTTTACCAGTATTTGGTCCTAAACCCACCAACACGATCAGATTTTATCCGCTTTGATTGGATTGAACTTAACTGTGTTTTCCATTTAACTGTGGACACATGTTGCTTGTACGTAGGTGCAATCTAGCTTTCCATTTAATGATGGAAACCAGCCTTAGTACTAAATTAAAAAAGAAAGAAGAATATTATATGCCTGCACGGGGAGGGATCAGGTGAATAATCTTGTGATCGATAACTATGCATAACCCAATAAGAATCCGCCACATCAACACCCCTTTTCTCTAATGAAAAACTTTTAATTTTCCCTCTTTAATCTTTAACGGACGATTTCTTACTCAATTAAAGTCGAAATTTAATTTTTTTTTGTTTTGAACAGTTAGATCAGATTAATTGTGCTCTTCAAAATGATATCCACTTTGATATATTTTTGGAACAAAAAATATTTAGTCATTTTTTACCAATCTATACCATATGGTATTGACTGGTATTGAAATAAAAGCATATCATATAGTATGAAAAGCGCACTATATTGGTATGAACATACCAAGACTATAGGATGGTTGAATACATATATGATAGTAGGAGTATACTAACTGTCATTCACGACTTTCAACATTGTGTACCACAAGATACCACCCCCGTACCAGGGTGGTATTGTATGGTATTTTTTAGTCCTGTATTTTGTTCACCCAGAAATTTGTAAATCTAATAGATCATGATAAATTCGTTCCTTCTATGAAATGTTTTTCAAAAACGACTTCAAAATGAAGAAGATACCATATGGTATGGAGTTGGTAACGAGAAGCTAGAATTTTTTTTTCTCAAACAATATTGAAAATGTATCTCATTTAGTAGAGCACAACGAACTCGTTCTATCTGTGCAAAAGAAAGGGAAATCCGAGTTAAAACGAAGAAGATATGAGCCGATTAAGAAAATAGGGGAAAATAAAAATGTCTTTAAATCTCCACCTTAGATTTAGATTTTCTAAATAAAGGGTTTAGATTTAGTTACTAATGGGCAGTAACCCTTGAGCCCCGCACTGAACGTACCAACGGAGGCTAGCTAGTGGCTGCAATACATGACCAATGGTAATAAACTAATAATTAGGAAAGAATTGAAAGAATCCAAGGATGAGCTGCAATACCCTTTTCCTTGTAGCTTCACTAAAACGTCCCATGTAGTGTTGAAGATAATTGTAGAAATAATTAGTGGCATAGCCAGAAATCTGAACGTGAGGGGTCAAAATTTACGTTCAAATTATTTGAATTTGGGAAGGAGATTACAGTCTTACCACTTGCTCTATTTTTCAAATTTGTTACAAAATTTAAACGTAAATTTACACGATATTGAGAACTCAGGGGTTGTAGCCTCTCACCCTCTGGTACAAATTTGCTAAAAAAAGAGGCAAAATGTGCATGAAACAAGTTTAATACCCGTCGGATACCCAATCAACGTGGAAATAAAAATAAACTTTATTGGGAATTCAACAGAACATCACTAATACATTTGGAAAGAATTGAAAGAATTAAAGGGATATAATTTACAGCTTATGAAGGAAATTTTAAATCCAAAATGAAGCTTATGAAGGAAATTTTAAATCCAAAATGAAACAATGGTATGTAACTATGAATTGAATCAAACAAATTCTAAAGGAAGTAACGATCAGTTGTTGACAGCGCCGCAAATCCTCCTAATCTGTCCAGCAGACCCAGTGAGAGGCTGAATGTCGCCCACCTTGATCCTCGCTGTCGTGAAATCGGCACTGAACCTCGAGGGACTCCTGCTATACTCCGTCACAATGCTGTCCGTGGAGCCACCGCTGAAGAGTACTTGATCCGTCTCCAGAAGTCCCTCCCTCTGCACAAGATTCCTGAAGTAGTTGTTGTCGAACGAATTGGGCGAGTGCACTGAATGCATCCAAAAAAGGGTGGCTACTTGGGTGCACTCAGTGCACCCAACTCTAAAAGCGTCCATAATACATCAAATTTTGAAATTTAATTAGTACTCTCAATATAATATGATGATATGACATAGAATCATAACAAATCAATCCATTACCCTAACTCCTTAACCTTCAATTTTGAATCCCAACCCAAAATCCCAAATTGTAAACCTAAACCCTAACCCTAAATCCCTAAATCTTAAATCCTTCAAATTAAAGTAAATTTTGAATGAATTTTTTTAAAATTCATGTGCTTCTTGTTCATAATATCATAAGCAACAATTGATACCGTTTTGACATGAATCGCATGGTCAGAATGACAAATATGAGGCGGGTGCACTGAGTGCACCCGAAAAAGTGGGTGCACCGAATACGCCACCACATATATATATATAAAACGTAGAATCTGCGTCAGATGTTGAGCTAGAGGCCACATCTTTGAGAATTTGGAAGTATTCTTCTTCAGTCTTGACTCCAGCTAAGAGAGCGCTGATTGAGGATTTTGTTTGCAAAAATTGCGTTGCTATATATATATATATGGTGCCTTCTACGGTACCCCCGGTGAAATCCGGGGTACCGTATACCTTGAGTATAAAAACTCTATCTAAACCTTGAATTAACAGGATTTTTGGACCTGATACTACACCCTAACTCTTAATGAGTGAACCCTAGGCCCTAGTTATCTAAATCATAAAATATAAACCCTAAGATGGTGTATTCATTTTTTTGCCTATATTTGCGCGAACCATAACTGTTGATTATTGTTTCTAATTAAATTGATCTTGGGGTATAAGATTTAGAGAATTAAAGTCTAGATTGTGATCTTTAAGGGTTAGAGTATAGTATCATGTCCGAAAATTCAATCAATTCAAGGTCTAGATAGCGTTTTCATACTCAAATTATGTGGTACCTTGGATTGCACCTGGGTACCGTAGAATATATATATGGTGGCGTCTTCGGTGCACTCATTTTTTTGGGTGCATTCAGTGCACTCGCTTCATAACTGTTATTTTAAACATGCGATTTATGTCAAAATGATGTCAATCTTCACTTATGATGTGATGAACAATAATGCACATGAATTTGCACAAAAACCATTAAAGATTTACTTTAATTTGAAGGATTTAGAGTTTAGAGATTTAGGATTAGGGTTAGGATTTACAATTTGGGGTTTAGGGATAGAACTCAAAATTGGAGGTCTAGGGCTTAGGGTAATCCTCTAATTAGTTCTTATCATATGTTATATCATCATATTACACTAATTCTACAAATTAAAATTCAAAATTCGATACCTTAAGACTAGTTTTTGAGTTGGGTGCATTGAACGCACTCATTTTAGCGAGTGCACCGAAGTAGTCAGGCTAGCGTACACCTGGCATATGCTATACACCTGTGTTCACACTCATTAATAATATTAATTATGATTAATTATTAATAAAAATTATAATTACAATAAGATCCTTTATTTTATATTTTATTAACTACGGCCGACAAACACTTAATTAAGAGAAACCTTCCTAATTTATTAATTGGGCATCCTCAAATTGGATCACCCAGCGTCGGGAATGGATCAGGTGAGTAACCTTATGGTGAGTAACCATGAGTAACCTGTCCACATCAGCATGACATCAGCATCCTCTCTCTCATGGAAAGCCTTTAATTTTTCTCTTTTTAAGCTTTGACGGACGATTTCTCGCTCATTTTAAGTCGAAATTTAATTTTTTTTGCACAGTTAGATCAGATTAATTGTGCTCTTCAAAATGATATCCACTTTAATATATTTTTCGAACAAAAAAAATTGAGCCATTTTTTACCAGCCTATACCATATGGTATTGACTGGTATTGAAATAAAAGCATACCTATGTTTTGAAAAACGTACCATGGTGGTATGAACAAACCAATACTGTAGGATGGTTGAATACATGATGGTAGAAGTATATTAATTGTAATTTACGACTTTTAACATTGTATACCACACAATACCACCCCGTACCAGGGTGGTATTGTATGGTATTGTGTGGTATTTTTTGGTCCTATAATTTGTTCACCCAGAAATTTGTAGATCCAATAGATCATGATGAACTCGTCCCTTCTGTGCAAACGTTTTCAAAAACGAATTAAAAACGAAGAAGATACCATACAATACCACCCCGTACCAGGGTGGTATTGTATGGTATTGTGTGGTATTTTTTGGTCCTGTAATTTGTTCACCCAGAAATTTGTAGATCCAGTAGATCATGATGAACTCATCCCTTCTGTGCAAACGTTTTCAAAAACGAATTAAAAACGAAGAAGATACCATATGGTATGTAGTTGGTACCGAGAGGCCATAATTTTTTTTTCCTAAAAAAATATTGAAAATTGATCTCATTTTGTAGAGCACGGTGAACTCATTCCATCTGTGCAAAAAAAATTAAAATCCGAGTTAAAACGAAAAAGATATGAGTCAATTAAGAAAGCTAGTGAAAATAAAAATAGTCTTTAATTCTCCATCTTTAGATCTGGATTTTCTAAATGAAGGGTCCAGATTTGGTTATTGATGGGTGCATAACCCATGGTTATGCACCCTATCTTGAGCCCCCAGCGTCGGTCTCCCCTACCTACAACGTAGGGAATAAGAACTTGAAAAGAAAGATCAAGATTTGTATTCCAGCCTTGCAATAAATAGATTAGTGTTCCCGGTCTTCTCTAATGCTTCACTCTTCTCACGGCAAAATCGTTGCCGAGCACCGCCCTTTGGCTCTTGACAATGGTCGGGTGGAAGACGTCGACCCAATTGAGGCAACATGCATCTGAATCCCCATTCTGGGTCTCCGTCATGCTCTGTGTATTCTTCTTTGTCGATTTCAAGCGAAGTAGAGAGTTTGTTTCGGTTCTACAGAGCTCGATCAGGAAGTAGGAATGCATACACCTTTGCTATGGATTCCCGTTGGGCGTTGGCAATATGAGAATAACTTTAAGCTAGCTTTGAAGAAAATAGCTTTGAGGTCTCATAACTTCCTATTGGAGTATAGAAATGTCAGAGAGATGGAACAGGCTAGTGGGATATGAGTAACTCTGGCAAGCAGAATTCCATTCGGAAGCCACCACAAATGGGTGAAATGAAAGTGAATAAGGATGTGTGATGTCTGGGTATCGAATGAACAAGGTCGGGGATAGTCGTGCGTGACTAGGAACGGGGCTTTACTTTAAAGCAACTGGAAAACATTCCAAACTACTAGACTTAAAAAAAACAATTTTCAACATACCATACTTATAGAAAAAAAATTCTCAAAATCCCAAAGTTTGGAGCAATTCGTTACAATTGAGATCGCGGAAAACTAGAGCGATCTACCCTAAATCACAGAAGAATAAAGCGGCAGGCCTCAAAGGTTTCTCCTGTTCTGGGCTTGTGAGGCAGAACTCTGCTTTTCTCTCTCGTTCCGGGTTCAGCAAGATCATTAGGCATTAGCCGATAAGGCCACTCGTGCTATTAATAGACGTTTGGGAATTGGTCGATCCATAACCCTCCCAGTCATCCTACTTCAGGGTAGCTCAAAGAACTCTTCCCCATGCTACGAACTTTGTCCGAAAGCGTGCTCGGCATCCCATGATTGATCACCTACATGCGAGTGACAAGATTCTAATTACCCTCATCTGTTATCAATTATGAATGAACTAGTGGTTGATTTAAGCCATATGGCTAAGTAATAATTAAGAGTGAGCTTTGACGAAATGTTGAATGGAATAGTTGCCTGAAAATGCACTGGTGTGTTTGGGTGTATTTTATTCAAATCCATTGTGAGGGTTAGTGTTTTGGGTATTGCAGACGACTACTGCGGAAATGTAGAGTTTCATTGTGAAAGTGGGCTCTCATGGAAAGAAGAATGGTAAGAATCAGGACCAAAGCGTAAACAACAATTAATTAATGGCGGTGGTTGTAATTAGAATTATTCATCAAAATTAATTTAATAAATGATTAATAAGTGTGAACGCAGGCGTATGCCATACACCAGGTGTACGCTAGTCTTTGTCATATATATATATATATATGATTTCTACAGTAACCCAGGTGAAACCCGGGGTACCGCATACCTTGAGTATGAAAACGCTATCTAGACCTCGAATTAGCAGGATTTTGGGCACGATACTATACCCTAACCCTTAATGAGTGAACCCTAGGTCCTAATTATCTAAATCGCAAACTATAAACCCTAAGATGGTGCATTGATTTTTTTGCCTATATATTTGGACGACTCATAACCGTCGATTATTGTTTCTAATTAAATTGATCTTGGGGTATAAGATTTAGAGAATTAAGACATAGATGTTGATCTTTAAGGGTTAGAGTATAGTATCATGTCCGAAAGATTAGTCAATTCAAGTTCTGGATACCGTTTTCTTACTCAAGGTATGCGGTACCCTGAATTTTACCTTGGGTACCGTAGAACTCCCCATATATATAGTTAAACCTCGTGGTTTAAATAAAATTTTAATATGTTTTTTTCAACTCAAAGCTACTCCCGCATACCATTTATTGTATTACTAGTTACTAAGAAATATAAATTCCAAGAGCGGAAGCGGCTACTCTGTATGGAAATGTCAACTAAACCCAGCTAAATCCAAAACAATGCGTGTAAGTAATTGAGTTTGAATGAGTGGAAGAAGTCGCAGCTTCGCAATAACAGACAATGGCAGGCTGCTGGGTAGGTAATTTTGGAAGGCAGCTACTTATAGAAGAATAATGGAATTCCAATGGTTGGGCGGTAAAAGTTAGTGTCTCAGATGCCAATTATTAGGACTACTATTCACTATTCAGACATGGCTGCCGGGAGAGATCAGAACCACCTTCCTACGTATCCTTTCTACTATTTTACGGGATAATAAAATTAGTAAATTTTATAAGATTAATAATTAAATGTATACCCAGGCAACTTGCCGTAGCTTTTACTCCGGCGAGAGCACTGGCTTTACCTTTAAACCCATACATATAAC